TAACAACACTGTCAGATATTGATGCCTTTGATTTTAATAATTGTCTGCAATTTAGTAATGTATCATGTGCAGCTAGGAAGGACCAGTGTGGTGCTTACCCCTAGAAGAGAGAGAGTTCCAATGAAGTTAATTGGGAAGATCTCATGAATAATTTGACAATTCTGGAGCAGAAACTAAATGAAGCTAAGACAAAGTGTTTGCTCCTTAGCCAGAAGGCAGAAGAGTCCAAAAAAGAACTGGATAAAGCTATGACAACAGCAATTAAGCAGGAAACAGAAAAGGTTTTTAGGCAACCATTTCATACCTTTATTCAAACCTTTTTCATGTCTTATGATACTAGTTGTGCAACTTATTGTGTGGTGGGTTGACCTTGTCTGGATGCCAAAAAGCCATTCCATCACTTCCTTCCTCAGCTGAACATGGAAGAAAAAACGTAATGAAAAGCTTGTGGGTTGAGATAAGGGCAGGGAGACATCACTCACAGTTGGAGTCACAGGCAGAGCAGGTTTGACTTGGGGAAATTAATTTATTACCAATCAAATCAGAATAGGACAATGAGAAATAAAAAATAAATCTTAAAGATACCTTCCCTCCACTTCTCCCTTGTTCCTGAGCTCAGCTCCGGAGTTCTCTCCCTCATTCCCACCACTGATGCCAGGGGGATGGAGAATGTGAGTTGTGGTGAATTCATCACACATTATCTCTACTGCTCCCTCCCTCAAGGGGAGGAGACCTCACACTCTTCCTGTGCTCTAGTGTGGGGTCCCTCACACAGGAGACAGTCCTTCGTGAACTTCTCCAACATGAGTCCTTCCCAAGGGTTCCAGTGTGGTCCCTTCCATGGGGTGCAGTCCTTCAGGCACACTGTTCCAGTACGTGGAATGACCCCATGGGGTCACTAGTTGTGCCACAAGCCAGCTCAAGTGTGGGCTTCCCACAGGGTCACAGCTTCCTTTGATCATCCATGTGCTCTGCAGTGGGGTCTTCCCAGGATCTCTGCACCCCTGTGTCCCTCCATGGGCTGCAGGGGCGCAGCTGCCTCACCATGGGCTGCACCAGGGGCTGCAGGGGAATCTCAGCACCTGGAGCACCTCCTGTCCCTCCTTCTGCACTGACCTTGGTGCCTGTAGAGCTGTTCCTCTCACATCTTCTCACCCCTCTCTTCAGGCTGATGTTTTTTATACATTTTTTTACTATGTGATCTCAGAGTTGCTACCACCATTGCTGATGGGCTTGGCCTTAGCAAGTTGTGCTATGCTGGAGCCAGTTGGCATTGGGTCTGTTGGACATGAAGGAAGCTTCTCAGAGAAGCCACCCCTGCAGCCCCTCCAATTCCAAAACCTGGCCAAGCAAATACATACCCAATATGTATTGATAAACTGTGGAGAGGCTAATATCATATTTAATTTGGGTAATAAATAATCTGTTGGTTTATTCTCTTATAAAATAAACAGCAACCTCTTTATTAATAAAAAAATTCTTTGACGTTAATGTATTTTAAATCGTTTATTTGTGTATTTATTTGATATTTTGTGATCTTTAAAGAAGATTTCTAAATTGAAACTGTGAAATTTCAATGTAGGTTGCAGCCATAGAACAGCTGGAAGAAAGCAAAAATACAATAGAAAATCTTTTGGATTGGTTATCAAATGTGGATAAAGAAGCAGAGCATGGCCGGAAGTTTAAACAAGTGATAGAACAGAATGGAACACACTTTGAAGAAGGAGATGTGAAAGTTTTGGAAGGAGAGGAGGATGATGTCAATGGTAATTTGCTGGAAGACATTGAAACTCAGGTGGATGGACTAGTAAAAAGCATAGATGATAATCTGAACCAGCAGTATCAGAAAGTCAAGGTATTGTTACTGAGTTTATTAAACATTTAGGTGTATCACTCCTTATTCAGCATAAGTGAACTCAATCTCATCCTGTCTGTTGTAGGCTTTGGAGCAAACTCTAGAAAGATAGGGTTTTGTCACAGTAATACACAAATAAATACACAAAT